TAGTAAGGACATCATTAAAATAGTCCATCAGTGGTTCAACCATAATTTTATGAAGTTATGAGAATTCATTTTGTGCACAAAGAAAACAAAAATAATGACTAACAATTTCTTCTCTTCCGTGTCAGTCTCTGCTGCCATTCACGACAGTAGCACAACACATGCGTGTGCATTCCTCTGCTTGCAAAGGAGCCGCAGCGCATGCGTGTTCTACGTTAGAACGCCGGCTCCTGCATCAGCAGCATCACACGTATGTGTCGCGGTACTCTCCTGAACGCAAGACTGACACAGAAGAGAAGAATTGTTGAATAAAGTCGTTTTTTTTGTTTTCCATGCGCACAGAAAGTATTCTCGTAGCTTCATAGAATTAGGGTTGAACCACTGATGCCACATGGACTATTTTAATGATGCCCTTACTACCTTTCTGGGCCTTGAATGTGTCAGTTCCATTGCTGTCTATGCAGGGTCAGAGAGCTCTTGGATTTCATTAAAAATATCTTAATTTGTGTTCCGAAGATGAACGAAGGTCTTATGGATTTGGAACGATTTGAGTGTGAGTAATTAATGACAGATTTTTCATTTTTGGGTGGACTATGCCTTTAACTTCAGACCATTGCTTTTGGCCAAAATAGGAGTCCATAAGAGGAAGCAAAGGTTTGAAGTTAAAAACTGGAGTGGTGTGGATTATTGTCATGTTTTTATCAGCTTTTGGACCCATTCTGATGGCACCCATTCACTGCAGAGTAACCACTGGTGAGCAAGTGATGCAATGACACATTTCTCCAAATCTAATGAAGAAACAAACTTGGATGGGCTGAGGGTGAGTACATTTTCAGCAAATTTTCATTTTGGTTGAACTACTCCTTTAATAAATACATGTCCTGTATTGATTGCACAGTAACATAAGGATCTCTTTTCTCTTTGCAGTGGCATCATTCGGTTGTCCAGAGGAAGTGATGTTCTCCATTCAGTGGTTTCTGAAATATTACCCCTGTCACAATGAGTACAACAATATTGAAGTGAGTGGCAGCTGTGTGCTTCTGAAATCCTTACAGCATGTGTGGGATCTTCTTTGTTAGTTTATCATTTGTTTATTTGCTCGCTCAGGAGATGTATGAGAAGACGCCACTGAGTCGAGGTGAGAGTCTGGACCCGAACCCTCTCGGACCCGGACAGTATATTCAACACAAATACAGGGAATTATCCTGCCGCAGTGACATGCACATCTTCCCCATGCTCAATGTACGTTCACACTGTTTGATTTCAGTCAGTAATGTTTGCCCTACTTTCAGCTAAACCTATTTGTCACCTTTATTGAGAAAAATAAGTCATGGTCATTTTTATTTTATTTTTTTAGCATTTATATACAATTATAGCATTTATTCATATTTTGAATAAGCTTTTAATGTCTTTTAGTTTTCATTTTAATTTAAGTTTAACTAGTCATTATGTGCTTTTGTTTTTTGTGTGTGGTTTTTTTTAGTTTTTTCTATTTAGCTTAAATGTATTTTTATTTCTGTTTTATTAATTTTAGTACTTAAACTTATTTTATTTCAATTAGTTGCAAAGGCAATATTTCTCTTTTTCATTTAAGTTCAAAATTTTATACACAATTGTATTTTGCATTAACAAAATGATGCTATTATTATTTTATTTTATTTTTTATAAAATATGCCAAACACATTTTATAAGCACATATTCCCCTCATTACCAGTGTGATAGAGATCTCATTCTCGCATTGTCTGCGTTTCCAGACACAATGATACTTCTTAAAATGATTAAAATCAGTAATGAAAGGTAATTCAACAAATACTAACATCATGTATGCTTGCATTTATAGATCTCAAAAATATCATACGAGTGTCATGTTTTCAACCTCTTTCTCAAGTTCCTGACTATCGGCTGATGTTAATCTTTATTTCATAAATGCATCCTAAGAGATTCAGTGTTACTTGCCTTTTTTAATGTTGTCTATTTCATATTTATCTGCAGAAATCAAAAGCAGAACTGAAAACAGTGAGACCGGCTCAAGTGGAAAGCGAGTTACAGGTAGAACTGTTAACTGACGTTCCTGTTTCGAAAGCTACTTCTTCTCAAACAGAGCAATATATATTTTCTTTGTTTTAAAAAAAAGGATGGCAGTTTCACAAGTTCTTCTGTTGCTGAGGCTGGTTCATATAGAGCAAAGGTGAGACATTCTAGAACATAATATATGGAGTATTTGGCAACAGCAATAGATTGAGGGTTTGTTGAGTAATGCACATAATTTCTTTGTTGGCGAAGGATCATGTGATTGCAACGACTTGGAGGGACGGGCCCTACCTGCTGGTAGTTCACATCAATTCAAGCAAACAGGATGTCAACTGGAATTTAACCTGTAGGCCTAATTACCTTATCTGCTCTTATCATAGATGTCCGAATATGTAGCTGTTTCTGTTTGGCTGCATGATCTTATCTCATGCTATCTTATCTAAATTGTGTGTTTCAGTCAGTGTTGTGATGAAGGGAACCCATGGCTATCTCTCTGTCACCGAATGGCCTCTCATGATCGTAAGTAGTTTAGATGCCTCAAGGGAGTGCTAGAGGTTCTGTGGAAAAGTTTAGAGAAAATCAGTGGGTAAATAATATAAGAAAATATGGATAGTAACATTTTTGATTATTGCATTTATACATTTATTATATTAAATAATAAGTGTGTGTGAATATATATATATATAAAGAAATAAGATATTGTATTGTGCATTAGTGATGCCTATTTTTAGACCTTTATTTATATAAATAAAAAACATTTATGTATTTATTGCATGATTTATTATGTGTCTCTCCCTCTCTTTTCTTCAGTTCTACATGGTGATGTGTATGGTGTACATCCTGTACGCTCTTCTCTGGTTCGTCTGGGCGTCCTGCTACTGGAAAGACCTGCTGAGGATCCAGTTCTGGATTGCAGGAGTCATATTCTTGGGCATGATAGAGAAGGCTGTCTTCTGTGCTGAATATCAGAACACTAACAACGTGGGCTCAGCATGTTAGTCAAAATACACTCTTTATTTCTCAGTTTCAACTGATTTCTCCACTTACAATGGGCAAACAAATTTGGACACTTAAGTCACTTAAAATTGTGTCATCTATGATCTTTTCGTATTTTTAGTGCTCATGTTGCATTTATTTGATAGAAAAAATACAGTAAAAACAGTAATATTGTGAAATTTTATTACAAATTTTAAATTACAATTTTCTATTTGAATATATTTTAATTTGAATTTTCAGCAGACATTACTCCAGTCTTCAGTCTTTGGTATTATTTATATGCTATTATAGTTTTTATTAATATTTTGAATTAGCTTTTATGGTTTTATATTTTCCGTTTTAATTTTAGTTAAATTTTTGGTAATTTGTTTTTGGCATTTTTATTAGTTCTTGTTCTTTTTTTAATATTAATATCAAAACCGAATATATATAATATCTTTTTTTTTTATTATTATTAATTTCCGGTAAGTAATTTTAGTGCTTCAGTTTATTAATTGCCAAGGCAACATTTCATTTAGTTTTGTTCCATCTAATATTTATATTTTATTTCAGATTTATTGCAGTTAACAAAAATGTTTTAATAGTTTTAGTTACCGATAATAACCCTGGTCTTCGTGACTATAGACACTAAAGCACACAATACTTTTGCTTTCAGTTTCAACACAAGATGCATTATTTTATCAATTAACCTTTCTTTATAACCTCAAAATTGAACCTTTCTTTCAAATGAATGACACCTGGATCAATATTTTATCATCTAACACTATGATATTTAGATATTTTAATTAATCTGCATCAAGCATCACACTGGCTTTTACTGTAAAACAAGCTGCAATCAATAAGAGTCCAAATGTTTAATAGTTGAATCTCTTTGCCTTCTTTCCAGCTCAGGGTCTGCTGATCTTTGCCGAGCTCATCTCTGCTCTGAAGAGGACTCTGGCCCGTTTGCTTGTCATCATCGTCAGTCTGGGCTACGGCATTGTCAAGTGAGTGATGAAAGCATCGTTTGGCCAGTTTCAAGATCATTGAAGGAATAGGAAAAAATAAAAATTTGCAGAAAATGTACTCACCCTCAGGCCATCCAAGATGTATATGAGAATCTCCAAACAGATTTAGAGAAATGTAGCATTACATCACCAGTGGATCCTCTGCAGTGAATGGGTGCCGTCAGAATGAGAGTCCAAACATCTGATAAAAACATCACAATAATCCACAAGTAGTCCACACCAGTCCAGTCCATCAGTTAACGTCTTGTGAAGTGAAAAGCTTCATGTTTGTAAGAAAAGAAACCATCATTAAGATGTTTTTAACTTCAAACTGCTGCATCCGACTAAAATGTGAATCCTCGATCCATAATATTGCTTTCTCCAGTGAAAAAGTCATCTTTTCTGAATCGGGAGAGAAATCTGTCCAGATTAAGAACCATTTGCAAGCGAAAACCGTCCAGATCAGTTCTAGACAAATATGTTTGCAGATTTTGATGTAAGAGAACAACAGGGGATGGACTTTTTCACTGGAGGAAGCGTTTTTATGAATTATGGACTTGTATTTTTGGCCAGAAGTGAGAGTTTAAAGTGACGTAATGCTATAGTTATGAAATGCTAAAAAATCTTTTCCGATGAAGAAACAAACTCATCCGCATCTTGTGTGACCTGAGGATGAGGACATTTTCAGCAGGTTTTCATGTTTGGGTGAACTATTCCTGTAAGTTATTTTAGATAGCATGAGATGATGTTTTTGTGTTTTCTCAGGCCGCGTTTAGGCACCGTCATGCACAGAGTGGTGGGTCTGGGTGTGCTTTACTTCGCATTTGCTGCAATTGAGGGCGTTCTGAGGATCACTGGGGTAAAGCTGACATCCTGGAGCTTTTAAAACTTTTTTTGCAATGCAGTTCCTCAATATAAACCTCAATTCTTGTCTAATAACTGTCAATTATGAGATGTCATTTGGATTTGTTGTGAAAAATGAGTGTGATTGGTGTTGATCTGTAAGGGTCGAGATAATGGACCAGCCCTCGTCACATACGTTATACTAGCTGTGTTTGATTCCTCTGCTATCTGGTTCATATCCTTCCGATGAGCTTATTGAGCCTGTTCGATCATGAAGAATTAATTTAATTAACAGAATTATACCAACTGGGTTTTAAAGGGATAATTCATCAAAAAAAAGAAAAAGAAAGTTCTGTCATCATTTACTTAACCTCATGACGACTTTCTTTGTTCTGTTGAACATAGAAGATATTTTGAAGAATGCTGGTAATCAAACAGTTTCTATTCCCATTGACATCCATTGTATTTTTTGTCATATAATGCAAGTCAATGGGAACCAAAACTGTTTGGTTGCCAACATTCTTCATTCTTGACACAATTTTAATTTTTGGGTGAACTGTTCCTTTAATATAACTAATTTTGTCTTTTACAAATGTGAATTATTTGCACGCTATAACCATGTAGTTGAGAAGCATTGAAAGGTGCTTATTCCTTTTAGTGTTATTTTAGTTTCATTGTACCTACTGTTTCCTATTCCTTATTTTTCCCGCCTCTGTGCATCTCCCTCAGGCTAAAGACTCTGACCTGGCCCTGCTAGCCAACATTCCCCTGGCTCTGCTTGACTCCTCTCTGTGTTGGTGGATATCCTTTTAGGAAGCCGTGTTTGTGTCTTTACCCCCGCACAATCTGTCTATTGGGCCGTATTTTATTCCTGCATGATGCCTTATTTATGGAGTTGTTTTATTTTCTTATTTGCCAGTTAGACCTGATGACTTTCTTACTAAGCATGATGCTAAAAAGAATATTACGGTTTATTTTCAGCATTATGTTTATGCATGTGTGCAATGCTGTTAAATACCATAGACAATTTCGAAATGTGTTTACTGTAAATATCCATATAATGGAAGATGGTGCATTTTAGCACTGCAAATATGCTACTCTTCTAAAGTCTGGGGTCAAGTAAGATTTTTTTTAAAGAAATTAAATTTTTTTTTTATTCAGCAGGGATGCATTAAATGTATCAAATGTAAAAGTGACAGTAAAGACATTTATAATGTTACAAAAGATTTATATTTCAAACAAATGCTCTTCTTTTGAATTTGCTATTCATAAAAGAAGCCTGATTAAAAAATGATAATAATCAGAAATGTTTCTTGAGCAGCAAATCAGTATATTCGAATGATTTCTGAAGGATCATGTGACACTGAAGACTGGAGTAATGATGCTGAAAATTCAGCTTTGATCACAGGAATAAATTACATTTTACAATATATTCAAATAGCAAACAGTTATTAAAAATTGTAATAATATTTCATAATATTACTGTTTTTACTGACTTTTTGATCAAATAAATGCAGCCTTGGTGAGCGGAAGAGATTTCTTTCAAAAGCATTTTAAAAATCTTACCGACCCCAAACTTTTGAACGGTATTGTATATTGATAGTAAATCAGCACAACTTCACTGCATGCACAAACATAGTATTTTAAATTTCTATATAATATTGAACTATATTATAAATAATATGCATATCATAATATAATAAATATAATAGCTGAAACAGTGTGATAGTTGCATATTTTCAACATTATTCTGTAGTTCAGCCTGCTTATTCCAAGTCTATTTTAACATATTCAGGTCTCATGTTATTTATTTTTTTGACTGTGATAATTGACAGCACGCCACATTAGATTAATAATAAGTCATAATATTCCTAGTCTTATGGTCCTGTAAGTCAAGTGACTCCTTGACTATATCTCACATATTTGTCAGTCTGGCACAAACCATTAAGACTCTAAAACTCAGAAGAAACCCAGTGAAGTTGTCTTTGTACAGACACTTCACCAACACACTCATCTTTGCTGTTCTCGGTGAGTATAAAGCATGGAATATCACCCAATACAGCGGAATAATGAAACCCAGTCAAGGTGACTGATATGTGGCGTGTTTCAGCCTCCATCATTTTCATGGTTTGGACAACGAAGAAGTTCCGGTTAGCAGACTGTCAGGCAGTGAGTATCCGAGCTCTCTGAGGTTACAGCTCTGCTCTGATTGGAGCAGAACCGGAAGATTTAAAACTGGTTCATGTGTGTTCATGAGCAGGACTGGATGGAGCTGTGGGTGGATGATGCTTTCTGGAGGTTCCTCTTCTCCATCATTCTGCTGGTCATCATGTTTCTGTGGAGGCCGTCTGTCAATAACCAAAGGCAAGCGTACTGTTCCGAATCCTAGTCAGCTGCCTTGTTCTCTTTCTTCTAAAGCGGCGTCCTGACCGCATCCATGTGCTCTGTGTGTAGGTATGCGTACACACCTCTCATCGATGACTCAGATGATGAGGAGATTGAAGAGTTCCTGGTGTCTGCAAACATCGGTCAGTCACACTTTTTTGTGTCTATATGTCTGAGGTATTCACTGTAAGCTGATGTTATTGTACTGTATGGAAATGGTGTTATATGAAAATTGTGGGTTAATTAATATGGACTCTCATCCTCAGCTGATGGGATAAAGTTGAGGGCAGCTAAGACAGAAACCAATGGAACGGTGAAACCTGCAGCAGCTAATCCGGTCAGTGTGAACATGTAAATAAACTGTCCCATATATAGTTGTATTTTTTATTATTAGTATTTTAATAATATTTAAACTGTTCTTATGATTTTAAAATGTTAACTTTTTTATTCTGCAAGGACAAATTAAATTGATCAAAAGTGACAATAAAAAGCTTTATAATGTTACAAAAGATTTCTATTTCGAATAAATTGTTCTTTTGAACTTGTTCGTCAGAGAATCCTGAAAATATGTAAAGCGGTTTCCAGCAAGACTGTTTTTAACATTGATAACATTGATCATGTGACACTGAAGACTGGAGTAATGATGCTGAAAATTCAGCTTTGATTACAGAAATAAATTACATCTTAAAATATATTCACGTAGAAAACAATTGTTTTAAATTGTAATAATATTTCACAATATTACTGTTTTTACTGTATTTTTGCAGCCTTGTTGAGCATAAGAGACTTAATAAAAAACATAATAAAAATCATAGACCCAACATTTTTATTTTGATATTTTTTCCTTTTATAATATAATTAGAGATGCGCCGATCGATCGGCCAGGGATCGGAATCGGCCGATTTTCCTCATGATCGGCCCGGATCGGTGATCGGCCGGTCAGTATCACTTCTTTCCGATTTCGAGGCGATCCGTTTTGTTACCAACATCAGCCGCGCATTCTCACTCTCATCTCTCCGACGACCCCTTCTCTCTCACACACGTCTCATTCGCTCCGGTTAAATAGTGCTTGTATTGCACATTATTTTAGTCATTCCCGCAGGTTTCGCACTTGTACCAAAAACGCGTGCACCAGAACTGATCTTTATTAGTGGAGCGCACAATCCAAGAGCTTGTGAGCCACAAATACCAAAATGAGTGGCTAACTGCGCTAAAACGTTCAAATACATACAAAATTATACAGAAATTAACGTAATCAAAAACTTACTTAACCTGAAAAACTTCGTTTCATAGCTCTCTTTATTCTATTGCATTTATTTGTGCTATTGTTTGCAATTTTTTTATTTGTTATTTCATTACTGATTTTTTGCTTGTGTTTTTTTTGTTATGAAAATAAAACTTTGCGTTGAAGAAAAGTAGATTTTTGCTTGTATATGCTGTCAATTATAGTTCTTAGAAAGAAAATCGGAATCGGCAAAAATCGGTATCGGCAGATCACACTAACAAAAAATCGTAAATGGGAATCGGCCAAGAAAATTGCCATCGGTGCATCTCTAAATATAATGTAATATAATATTAAAATTAAGCGTCTTCAATAAATAAAGTAGTAAACGTCAATAAATGTAATAAATATTATACAATATAATGCAACATAATATAATCAAATATTTGATTGTTTCAGGATGAAGATTTGAAGTGGGTGGAGGAGAATATTCCCACCTCCCTGTCTGATGTGTAGGTCATTTCTGTTTGACAAAAACCTTCATACATACTCCCTCTCCTGTTTACAAGAAAAAAGCTTCCCATGTAAATTTGTAATTATTCACTTTTATTGTCAGAGCTCTTCCTGTTCTTCTCGACTCAGATGAGGTATGCAGATTCATTTTATTTCTATCATAGTTTTGCTTTGCTGTATCTTTAAGTTTTAGTCTTTCAGTTTTTCTTTACTGTTTTCTTCTTCTGAAATGGGATACGTGGGGTGGAGAAAAAAAAAAAATCAGATCCAGTTCCAGGGTTATCATAGTAACAGATATGAAAGCCATAAAAAACACACATTTTCGTTGCTTGAAATAAAATAAAATAATTGTGAACTTAAAGTACATAAATACAAATTTTACTTTTTTTTTTATTTCAGCTAGTTGCAATACAATATTTTTCATTTTCATTTACTTTAACTTGACGTATTAAAATAATTTAAATAAAATGGAAATAAAAATTAGTAAAACTCTTTAGAAATATAGAAAAAACTAAAATGATAAAATGACAAAATTACTAAAACCAACATTTAAAATGAATATGGAAAATCTAAAAATAGAAAATCATTCAAAATATGAATCAAATCATCAGTGTAGTTTCTAGTGACACTAAAATAACACTGTCTAGTTTCCATAGTTTTATTCACTTTTCTGTGTTTTGGAACACTTGCATCACCCATCATAAATAAACGAATGAATTCATGCCCGATTCTCACACAGGAGATCATGACCACCAAGTATGAGATGTCTAAAATGGAGTGAGGTTGAGAAAGCGCTGCAGCTGAAGCAAACCTCCAGAGATCAACCAAACCGCTGCTCCTGTAACTGACATCTGACCCTCACCGGAGAGAGTCACAGACTCCGTCTGTTTTCTTGCTTTGGTCCGGATGGGTGCCGGCTTTTGGGTAAATTGAAGGAATCGTGCTGAAGAGGAGGACGCATCCTAGCTGATCTAGACGCAGTACTACATGAACTTAGTTGAGGAGTTACCTCTCTTTTTTTTTTCCTGAACTGTTTAAACGTACAAAAGACTTTAACGTCATCATCAGTCTGTATTAAGAGACAACGGTCTATGTTTATAAACATTTGTGATGACATACCTGACAAAATTGTGAGCAAGTATTTAAATGGGTTAAACCATTCTTAGCGCTGGTTTTTGCTTTGTGCGTGTGTGTTGACCAAAGTGTCTTCTCCGTTTCCTTTAGCTGTATATAAAGTGTTATTTCAAAAATGTTGTCTCTGATTTCAGCACATGATGTGAATAGTAGAATGCCTGCTGGCGTGTCGGATTTGTATTTGTTTGTGAGTTTGTGCAGGGAGTAATTTAAATGGGCAGATTGATTAATTATATATTCTGAATAATTTGATGAAGTTGTTTTGTAGAGAGCCCAGCTCAACTTTTCTCACTTAAAAGGAAAGTTCACCCTAAAATCAAGATTGTTGTTATTTAATCACCCTCATGTCGTCTCAAACCCACATGCTGTTACTATGGAAGCCTGTTTTGGCCACAAGAGTAAAAAATAACTAAAATAAAATAAAAAATGTAATTGCATCTTTTTATTTTACAATTCAGCATTTTTTTCTTGCAGTTCTGAGAAGAAGGGAAAAAAAGTCAGAATTGCAAGATATAAACCCAGATTTCTGACTTTTTTTTTTCTTGCAATAACGGGTTTACATCTTTCAATTCTGACTTTTTTTCTTTCAATTGCAGTTTATATCTCACAAGTTGAACTTCTCAGAAGCGTGAGTTTATATCTTGCACGTTTGAGTTTATACCTCGTAATTCTGGCGGAAACAGTAGAAGTTTTAAAGCACAATTTAGTAGTGCATACAACTTGTGCACTATATTCCAAGTCTTCTGAAATAATGTGAAAGCTTTGTGTGAGGAACAGAGCAAAATCTAACCCTCTCTTGGCCAAAAGCTTTCCCCCTCGCAACATGCAATCTGAATGATTTTGTGAACGAGGTTTGAGAGCAGTGAATAATTTAATTTTGGTCTGTTCCTTACAGAAAACTATTGTATGAGTTGGAGTGTAGTGCATGAATTTGACTTTTATGATGGAGTTTTTTGTTTGTATGATGCATTTCTGGAGCTTGAACTTTATTAATCGTATGCAAAGAAGTCCAATGTGGCTTTGGAATTTCGTTTGAAGAAATATCGTTTTATGGGTTTGAAACAACATTAGGGTGTCTTTTTCGTTTTGGGTGAAATATTCCTTTAAATGCGTTTGTTATTCTTTCTGAGGAAAAGCGTATGTATCTTGGATGCATACTGAAGCCTTAACACACTTCTGTTCTTGAGTTTTTTGCTGTATCACTGCATCACTTTGTCTTTTCTTCCCTGGTCTCGGTTGGACATTCTGTGACTGCTTAACAGAACTACGTGTGCTTTACCATGCTGAACCGTGGTAAACAGAATGACTGTTAAACTTCAGAAAGATGTCTTTTTAGGTCCTTGAGACTAAACGAAATGCGTTGTCAAATAACTTCAGATTTGTGTTTATTACAAAGCGCACTTTAAGTGAATGTGATTTCTTTTGGTCATATGATGCAGCTTAATTTATCTGTATGATGCTGCCCTCGTCCTTCATGTGTCATTCTGTTTTGTTTTGTTTTTTCCATAAAAACTCTCTCTTTCTTTGCCTTTCTGTTCGCTTAACAATCAGCTGCCCTCCTCAAATGTGAGCTCACACTATTCAAAAAGCACACTTGATGTCCTGTAGAGCTCAGGTCTTGTCTGTTTTCTGTCTTCATGCATGTTTATCCATGTTTCATACATGTTCAGCAATGTGGGTTGCAATAAAGACTCTTTATTACAGTCAAATCGTGAGGCGTTGTGAGTTACGTCAAAATATGTTGTTTTTTTTAAAAGGGTTCACAATGTGCTTGATAAGAAAATTGACCATGAAAGTGTCATTTTGTCTGTTCTGTGAAAGATAATAGTATTTATGGAGGTAATTCTCTTAGATTTTCACGGCTTTACCAAGTATCACCAATATTCCTCAGCAATCTCAACTAGACCACGCCTGTTAGTTAAATGTTGACTAAATTCGCTAATACACCGATGCACATTTTCCTCCTCACTTTCACTTTTTCACTTTTGCACTTTTGCACTTTCACTATCATCTATATTTCCAGTAAGGCCACGAGAGGGCGTCCCTAACTAAATTGTAAGTACAGCACGTCGTCTTATACCTGATCGGATGTTATACTGTCCATTTCTTTATGATTTATAAACGTTCTGTGCATCTACATAGCCTCATAACTTGTAATTTGAGTAATGTAAAGCAATTTGTCCGTAGAGCTAGTATTAGAAATAGTATCTTTTCATTTCAACCCATCTGCTTATCTCTAAGATTACAAAGACCTTATAAATGTCTTTACTGTCAGATTTGATCAGTTTAATGCATCCTTCCTGAATACAAGTGTTAAATAAGTCAGTTCAGCATCAGAGTTTTGTTGTTATTTTCACATAACTTGATGTACTAAAATAACAAAAAAAAAAAAGTATTTTACAGAGTGTTGCCAATATTCCTCATCAATCTCTCTGGTACTTGGGCCTATATAAAAATATAATAAAAACTACAATTAATTTTAAAAACTCATAAAAATGACAAAAACTCACAACAAAATTACTGAAACTTTAACTGAAATAAATAAATAATAATAAATATAAAAAATATCAATAAAACCTATAATAGTTTCTTGAAATAACACTGCTCACAAAACATCCACAAGTCTGTAAGAGTATTTCAGCTAATCCCTGAACTTTGAGTCTTAAACCAAGGAACATGACAAACAAACACAACCGTACCGCGACCAGAACTAAACATAGTCAAGATAACAATCTACTTTTCCAATGGCAAACACGTGGTTTTCCTGATGCATGACATTTTGCCCCTACTTTTTACCCTCTTATTTTGCAGTCCAGTCCAAAATAATGAATAACTCAAACACCTCAACACCAGGTGGGTTTACAAGCATCTCAAACTATTATAGAATTATATTCCGGTAAATTCCTCATACAGAGCTGCTGTATCATAAGGCTTTAGTCAGAAGACTTGGAAAATAATGCGCATATATATACTGTATATATATATGTATATGGATTGCTTGAAATATATAGTCACTAAATGCTTTCAGTGTATGGAAAAGAGCAATGTTTCCCAGAAGGAAGGAAGTCATTCAGGTTTGGAGCGACATGAGGGTGAATAAATGGTTACTTTCTTTGCTTATCACTTCTTTCCTCAAAATGTCTTGTAGTGAAAGTTAAATTATGGCAAATCTCTGCACTTTTTGAAAACCTTTTGAAAGCTTCAGGCTGGGCCAGTGGACAGAGTCAAGATGCTTCTTAGTAATTATGCAAAGATTTTACAGTTGAAGTGCATTGTCATTTTAATAACATGTGCTTCTGGTTCTTTTGATCTTTTGTGAGGAAAGGGCCTGGACAACCACATGTGCTCAACATTACTGTCCTTTTCTCTTTCTAGCAAACTGACAAATTGACAAACGCACTGAGAAATACTCTTTAATTTCCTGATTGTTATTGTTCCTTGCATTCTTCTTAAGGTCATATTACAGGTCCCATGTGATTCATGTGAACTTTACAATCGATTTTGGTGACAATAACCAGCAAATTCCAAAGATTTAGGCCTTTGCAATACTCATTTAAAGGGGGCATAACACACACAGTTTCACCCAATCTCATGTTAATCTTGAGTACCTATAGAGTCGTACTGCATCCTTCATATCTCCAAAAAGTCTTTAGTTTGTGTGGGGGAGGGGTTAGGAGTAGGGGTGGGGGTAGGATTAGGCAATCAGGTAGCGACTTCAACGAGGGGCTGCATAATCTGGCAGGGGTGCAGAATTCGGCACAACACCGGATGAAGCGCGTTGATGGGAGCAATCTCGCTCTGGTTGATGCGTGCGCGGGCGCGCTCTTCCGGGAGAAATGCCCATATAAGGAGTTCCACCCTCGTCTACGTCATGAAGAGCCACGATCGAAAAAAAACT